ATACATGAAAATTGAACCTTCTTGAAAATTTTACATTTTTTATGTTATATATATGTATATATATTCTCGATATTAATTTGGGATAGAGAAGGTAAGAGAGCTACTTTTAATTTTATTTATTTATCTCTTGTTAGGAGACACAATGAATCAAGTTATATATTGAATAGTACAAAATAATAATGTCCATCCTAATAATTCCCAATAAATAAGTAATTAAAGTTAAAAAATTTATAAATCAGTTTATATATTAGATGGTGCAAAATGATAATATGCAATCTGCTTTAAATAAATAAGTAATTAAAGCTAAGAAATTTATATAGAAAATTAATCTAAATCAAGTTATATATTCGATAGTGCAAAATGATAATGTCTAATCTGTTGACTCCAAATGAATAAGTAATTAAAGCTAATAAATTTATAAATAAAATTATTTGTTGGATAGTACAAAATGAAAATTTCCAATTTGATGAATCCCAATGAGTAAGTAATTAAAGATTAAAAAATTTTATATAGAAAATCCATTTAAATAATATTTGATGTTGCATTGTGGAAAATAATAATGTCAATCTGATAACTCTTATAAATACAACCCATTTTTTATCACTTCTTAGTAAATTATAAGCCAACTTTTTTATCTCCTTTTCACATCGTCTTTTTCTTTCACTTTTAGATGGATAGGAAGAGCAAGGGTCGTCAAAAGATTGAGATGATAAAGATGAGTAACGAAATCAACCTCCAAATAACTTTCTCAAAACGAAGAGCTAGTCTTTTTAAGAAAGCTAGTGAATGGTCCACTCTTTGTGGCGTCGACATTGCAATTATTATTTTTTCCCCCAGTAAAAAGGCTTTTTCTTTGGTCATCCTTGTGTTGAAAAAGTGATTGAAGATTTCATTTGTGGTAATCCTCCACGAGATACTTCAAGAGCCATGACACTCATTGAGGTTCACCGCAACTCAAGGATACATGAGCTCAATATGATCCTCACACAGGTTTGAGTAGACCATATTTAGATTTTAAAACTTATTATACTTATTTGATCTTCCTTTTGTTCGATTAAAACTTATAATGAATTGTACTTATTATTTGAAACATATGAAAATAGGTCATGAATCAACTGAAAATCGAGAAAAATCGCAATGCAGAGCTTAAGGAAATATAAAAAATATGTGAGAGTAAGTGTTGGTGGATGGGTCCAAAACAGGAAATGAGTTTCTCACAACTTGAGCATTTAAAGACATCTCTTGAGGAATTGAAGAAGAAAGTTACTAAAGAAGCTGAGATGATTATAATTCAGAACAAATTAAACATGATGCCTCATGTATTAAATGATCCAAACACGATACCTAATGTGTTCAATAATAATCCCAATATATATATTCAAGGAAATAGATAAATAAGATTCTACTAAGTTCATTTCTTGACTAAGTCTCGGAAGGATGAAATTAAAAAGAGTTGTAAACACGATACTTGCAGTTTGTTTTATTTTATTTATGTTAGATATCTGGTGCCTTAGCATTTGGGTTTTCGTCATGTTCCTTTTCATTGTAGGGT